ACAGATAGGTACACCGACTTTGCTAAACTCAGAGATTAGTCTAAACTCAAAGGAATCACAAGTTTTCTACTAGAAGGTAAAAGTTTGAGTTATTGAAAACAGTCTAATTAGATCTCTGGGAGAAACAAACATATACATGTTTTCAGGAATGACTACTTCCAATAAGTACCTACTTACTTTTTCCAGGAGTGATGATTTCAACTTGAAGGAAAAAGAAAATATGTAAAGCTTCTAAGGTAAAAATGTACCAATACTTGGTCTACTTCCAAACTACAATGAAATAGAATTCTGCATACAGAATTTTTTGGATGAAAATGGTGTATTGATTGGAAAATCAGAGAAGGTGATATGGCAATCTGGAATATAATTCCTCTCTCAAGTATATAAACCAATGGTAACATTGGTAACCCACAGGAATGAAAACAGACCTCATAGGTACTTCCAATGATAATAATTGGTAATCCAAGAACTGACCATTTTGATTCTATGAATAGACTATATAGGGCTTGCCAGTTCTACTAAATGTGTAGGTGTTGTGTGTCCATAAGATTTGTTTAAGGAAATGAAAAATGTGAATGGACTAGATGTTTACTTGCTTGGAATCAATCAAAATTTTATGTACTTTCTAGGACACATATCAGATAAGATATTATATGGTGTGAAAACATCATTTTGAATCCACTTTCTAGTTGGTATGTACCTCTGTTATCTACTAGGGAAAGAGATTTGTGAATTTTTGTAGTTTCCAGTTTAATTTTGTATTTTATAATGATGATCATTTTGTTAAATCATACCTAATTTGTTATGTTCAGGAGAACTAATCGAATATCAGTAAATTAATAACTATAATAATGGTGAAATTACTACATAGATGTAAGAAAATATACCTATACTAATCATCAGTGTTGATTAATATCAATTACCTATGTGTGTCTGGCAGTATATTTGTGAGATATGTGAGAAATAAAATGAACTTTTTCCATAAAAATTATTTGTTATTGATAATTAATATTGTCAAAATCATAGTCAAAATACAGCATAGTGAAATCACTGACATTTTTATACAAACAAAACATCCTACTAGTCATTCTGACTGACAATATGCATCCACTTTGTGCAAATCAATGTCTTTTTGTATTAATGAGTAGTTTTTTACTATTTTCATCACATTGTCATTGTCCACCAATATTCTACATTGTGTTCCATGAACTTCACAATACACATACACTGATAATTCTACAGTTTCAAAGCACATACTTCAAGTATTTATAATTTCATGCTGTTTCAAGTCACTGCTTGATTATTTCTTTATATGTTTGGTATTCTATAGCTTCTCAAGTGCTTCTCAATCACATGGGGTAGCTGGAGCTATGGAAAACATATCATATATTACATCAGGAATCCATCTTGCAAGCAAAGTCTTCATAAGAGGCTTCTAGGAGCTTTGACATAACTTATTGGATCACCCAATCTGTCCAATTCAATAAAGTCATTACAAATCTGCATACTACATTTTTCCAGTCTCATTGAAATAAATATGCAACTTATAAAAATGGAGGTAGAAAATCTAGAAAAATAAATAAATGAGGTTAAACCATGATTATTAAAAATATTTCCTAACTTACCAATATTATGTTCTGCAGAAATATTTGATCTTGATCGAATAGAAAATGATATAATACTGCATGAGGAAAACAACAAAACCACAGAAAAACACTGACATATTTCTGACACAAAGTTCAAATCTTCAAATCATTTAGCGCCTCGGAATTTGCCTAAACATGGCGGACAGCGGATTTCTTAATTATTACATAAATCATTATTATTATGATCATTAAATTTTTTTTTTAATTTGCCAATATTATGTTCAGTAGAAATATTTGATTGAATGGAAAATAATTCTGCATGAGAAAAAAACAGGAAAACCACAGAAAAACACTACTATTTTCAACACAAAGTTCAAGTCATTCAAATTTGCCGCGGATTTTGCCTGAACATGGCGGATTTCTATCGACCAATAGAAAAGATGACATGCCATTGTCGTCACTGTGTTAAATGCAGTCTCTGTAGAAAACAGTTGCTCGCAGCGACCTCTACCAGGAATAAATTTTTCACAGAAAAGTGTTCAAGAAATCTATTTTTCTACTATGAAACGTTATAGAGGTACGCTCAAAAAAGTTATTACTTTTCAGAAGACTCAAAAGACATGTAGGAGGCGCCACTCCCACGAAAGTGACAAACTAACAAACAATTCGATATTGTCATCGAGAAGTACCCCTAGATACCAAACTTCATTCGAATATGACAATTTTTTTCGAATCTATTACCAAGAAACAAAAATAAGAATTCAACTTTGACACTCTGTATCTCGGAAACGAATAACTTTCGGACATATGTTTATGAAAACTTTTCTTCTTATTTTGACGTCAGCAACATGCTCCTGAATTTTCTACACGTACTTAAGAAACACCCTGTATATATTTTGTTATAAGTACATGGTATTTTGTAATATCTGGATATTCTTGGTCTTTTATTATGTTGAATATTTTCAGAATGGCTTTCGTTCAGTATTGTGTTTATGAGAACTACATATTTTTTGTTATTTTTAATTTTCACATTATGTAAATGTATTCGAATTGATTTATCTCCATTAATATGAGATTATTTCTAAAATATATACTCCATAGCTGAAAATAATTAATTCGCTGTCAGGGTTTTTGCGTAATAACTTCTACTTGGGTAGGTATATAATTTCTAACGTCATCAAAGTGTGTCCAGATTATCTTTAGACATAAACGCTGCTGAAATCCTCTGAGATACAGTAAAAGTGAATCATATCCATTTGTAGGTAATGAAATTTACTACAAAAAAGTCAGTGACAGCATGTATCCACAATAAGTTTAGCATGGGGGGCCACTTTTCGAACTAGTAATAATCATCTGAAACACCATTTTACTTGAATTGAAATATCGGTTGATTATTATTGGCTCTTGGGAATTTTGAAAAAAATTACAGTCAATCTAGATACTATGAGGATCCTTTGCATGGTTGAATCATTTCTGTGAACTGAGTATTGAAATTCTAGCAGCTGTTTGAAAAATTACAATCCTGAATGTGGTCAATTCATCTTGATATGCTATATTTCTTGAACTATTAATCTTAAATCAGTGAATATTGGTTTATGACTTGAATAAGCCTAGTCCGTATATATTCGATCTCTTGACATTTTTTGATAATCGTTTTTTCGTGGTACGTCAATGATTTGGATAACGCAATTTCCAGCTCCTCGATTTTGTCCCTACTTGTGTGACGTCACGAAAGTGATGCTCCGGCCCGGTGAGATAGAGTACCCAGCGAGCACAAACATCCCTGGGATGTTTTGGGATGTTTTGGGATGTTTTGAAAATGTTGGCGTGAGGATGTTTTTTGAGACGTATATACACTTCCCAAAGAGGTCTTCAAAGGATATCGGAAGTATTATTTTCGTTCCTCTGTGGAATTTCTTTGTCTGCCTACTATGAGAGGCATTAGAGAAATTAAAAATGATGTTAACATGTGGATGTCATTTCTAGACATACCATAGCCTGCCTTGAAAGGTTAATTCTAGATATTCAATATATACATTCCCAATTCCCATCAGTTTTCATACACACAATTGAACTTAAATTCATTTCATATTTTTCGGTCTCCTCACTTCAACTACCTATATATATCTACCTAATTTTTATTCCATTAATACAATATACCAACGACCATGTCGTCCATAATGATATCCCAAACATAACAGAATATCCTACCAATGTTCTGACAACTTTCAGAACGTTTCTTACTCATTTTAGAATATTCTGATAGAATGTTCTCAGAATGATCATACAATAGTTTCATCTTGCAACAAATATTCCATGTAAATTTAATTCTCAGAATATTCTGAAAACATACAGAATATTATGCTATCAAAATATGATATGGTGTTTTATTCTTTTGTATCAATACTTATGTGTCCCATGACCCACCCTATTCGTCAGCTGCAACCCTAACAACACCGGATGTTGCTGGTACATCCCGCTAAGGTCCTACAAATGTCCCAATGTTTCAGACTTAGGAACGATATCCCAGAGATGTTTCTCTTGGTACATCCATCAGATGTTTTCATTGGATGTTCTAGAAACATCCCATTTGATATTTTTTTATAAACAATATCATGGTTCCATATTCGCTAATGATGATTGGCATGATTGAATAGTTCAAACAATTGTGACATTTGAAACATTAAAGAATTGGTAAAAAATGGAAATCAAAACTATATTCGTACTCATATACTTATACATATACCAAAGCCGGGTGTTGCCAGCAACATCCCAAGAATGTCCCAAGGAAAATAGGGATTTTCCAGAGATGTTCCTATCATCCCATATGGATGTTTCTACGACGTCTGACAGATGTTATTGTGTTATTAGGGAATGCTAATTATCCTACTGAAATAAAGTGCATGTTGACATATTGCTATTCATTTCATTTATCAATAAGGTTTCTAATGCGCAGTGGTAAAAGGATTGTAAAAATTCAATCAAGAAAGACTAGGTTCGATTCCCCAGCAGGGAAACAGATCTTTTTTAAATTTTGGAATAGATTATTTGCAGCGATCAAATGTGCGCAAAACTCTCTGGAAATGTTGTTTTGTGAGCATAAAGAGGCTATTAAAAAAACCAGGTAGAATGTATTTTTGTGACACCCCAGATGATATCTTTAGGAAGGCCACCTGCGGCGAACATCGGCTGTTATGAAAGTTCTATTCAAGTGTGAACATAACATTGCAGTGGAGGTTCAATATGTCTCGATATCTCGTTCTTGTAACATCTCTGAGATGTTTTCGTGCTCGCCGGGTAGGCCCTGCCTGGTCCCGAGAGGCGAGAGATCTAATGAATGACCCTGTATTACCTCTGCACCTTCGAACAATCAGCATCAGCGGAATGACATCAAAATGGCCACTTCCGCTTGGCGCGCTCCCTCGCGCAAGCCCAATCGCTCATTTCCACGCTGTCTGTCGTCAACTGCGGTCTTTCCGCGCTGGAAAACAGTGGAAAATCCTGCCCGGTTTTCCTTGCCGAATCCCGAAGAATCGATACGCAGCCGAAATGGGGTCGACGGTTCGGGTGTTTTTGCTGGTCCTCATCGGTTTGATCTGCTTCAAAAACGGTGAGTTTCTGTTTTTGTACTCGAGTGCTTGAATACCAAGAAGTGATGGACTATAGGAATTCTTGACAATTTTCGAGCTGTCATTGTGAATTAATCATTAAGGCCCTGTCTCACGGCCCAACAAATTGATCTAATTTGTTTGATGTGACGTCATTCTTGCCTGTTTAACTCAAATGGTTTGAAATGTCAAGAAATCTCCGTCACACGATTTGAAGATTTTTCAACAAGAATATATGTTAAGTAGGTTCTCTGGGAAGAAACAGAAGGTAAAATAAAATATAAATTCATTATTTGGTAATTATTCTATGTTGTATTTGTAATACGAAGTAATTCCAAAAAAAGAGGGAGATATCTACAAGATATTGGCTTCAAAAAAGAAATATTGGTAGAGGAGTCCTACCTATGATTTTTGATGAAGTCAGATTGGAAGATATCCCATAGTGAATTTCAAAACTACCTAAGAATGGATGGGGGACGTTTCATATTTTTATCAATCCATATAATATGCGCGTGAACGTATATACCTGCAGAAACAAAACAAAGTATCTAGTCAACCAAGCATAAATTTGGGATTGGAGCAAGACAAAAATATTCCAATAATTATCCGACATGGTCCTCATTCCAATTACCAGGACAGGCAGTTTTGAAGCATTGATAAGATTAATGATAGTATTTCTTGTAAATTCTTGAAGTATAAAATAATAATCAATGAAGAAAACAAGAAAACAAACATCCTAATCTCATTGTTAAATACAACATGACAAATATGTAGAAACAAGTTCTAAACTTCAGCTGCATTCTGACGTGAAGTCACTGATGACATCACAAATCTGTAGTTTGATCAAATTGTTGGACCGTGAGACACAGCCTTTAGTTGCGTTTTATTTTTCCGATTCCGCCACCAGAATCACTCCTATGTGTCTGTCGTTTTATTTGAAACTATTCCGATTCCGGTTGCTACTTTTCATTCCGTCCCCCTACAAGGAATGATGTGGAATGACTGTTCAAAAAATCAAATTGAATTGAATAAAAACGAAACTTTTTGAAGGTATAGAAGACATTTCTATCGTGAGGTTCCTAAGTTTATGATAATTTCAATAAGCAAGACAGTTTAATACATCAATTCCCGGATAAAATCAATTCTCTCGATCTCGGAGAACTTCATCCACATCCACACTGCTTTGCTTTGATTAATTTGCTTGATTTTTAACTTTAGTATTCTGATTTTGAAATCATTCGGAGCCCCAATCTATCCCCAATATACAGGGTGTCCCGAAATTAGCCTGCCAAACTTCACCAGCAGCTTTCACTATCAAGAATAGAAAGGAAACTTTCAATGAACATTAGTCGAGAAATGTCTCCCAAGGGAGCTATGGCTCCCTGACAGGGGGCTCATGAAGGTGATATCTCTTGAGAATTTCCGCAACTCCATGTGATAAAAAGATGCAATTTGGTAAAAGAACTTAACTTTCCATGCCCAATGCAGTGAAAGTTGAATCATTTCAAAATTTCAATCAGGAGTGTATAATACAGGGTGAGCCGGGATTGGCGCAGTGGAAGAGCGTCCGTCTCACGACCGCAAGGTTGTGGCTTCGATTCCCAGCGCGAGCAAGGAACTTTTTTCAATATTTTATTTACGAATTAAATATTGTTAAGTTTCGGAGCATCGGCTGGGGATAGTCCTGCACGATTCGCTGTTGCGTTCCAATGAACAGTGCTGCTCCTGAAGTGGCGCATGGAGTTAGTAACAAAGCCTACACAGAACACGCAGAAAGAGATGATGATGTGGTTGTGAGCATCAGAGAAGAAGTGGGACGGTGTATGTAGCTGGGTGTGGAAAACTACCAGCTGAGCGTGAGAGCGGGCCAGCTGCTTAGTGGACCCCAGTCTCTAACGGGGGTTAACGAGGATAGCTTGCAGGCCTGCCACTGCAGCATATGGTAGTGAGTACATAACTAGCCTACAAAACACAGCCGAAAAACTCTGAAAGAGAGCTGATGGGTGGTGCCTGAAAAGGATGTTAGCCAGCTCTCTTGAGCGAACCACATCAGTCATTGAAAACACCTTGGGGCTTGCAAAAAGGTCCCATTAGGGACTAGTTGCTGACGTGCAAACGTCCCCCACTAGTACCAGTACCAGTACCAGTAATACAGGGTGGGACTACATTGAATATTGCTCAAAATTTTTTGTGTGCATATTTTTCGACAATTTGATCTCGGATTATGAAATTTCGCACCTCTTTACAGACTTGTGTTCCGTGACGATCAGATGTATCATTACCGAGTAAAAGCAATTTAAAAATATTGTTACACCTCAGGTATTATGCATAACATTGCAATGAGGCGTAGTGGAAATGGAAAAATATGCACAAAAATTTAAGTCATTTTTTCATCATCATTTTTCTATTTTTCGCGCTTTTATGGAATTGTTTGGTAAAAAGAGAGTACTCGATTTCTTTACAGCCACTATGATTTGGAAATTGGAACCGTTTGCATGAGATGTGAGCGCATCAATATTTTTAAATCGATTTCTCTCGAATATGATACACCTGAACGGTGCGGAACAAGAGCACTTTTGTTTGTGAAACAGTGTGGATTTTCATAATCCAAGATTAAATCATGAAAAAATACCCTGTATAAATGAATTCTAGATCTCCTGCCAGGTTATTTGTTTTTCGTTTTATTTGTGAACGTCCAACAGTACTACTAGAACAGAGAAAATGACATTCATATTAAGAATCCAAAATGTGTATTATTGGTTGAATGATTATTCAAATCGACCAAACATATCGCAATTTCTGAATTAAAATGTTAATTATAGTTGGACAAATACTTTTATGAACCAGTGTCGCAATGAATTAGTTCATTCGGAAAAACTGCATTTATCATGCGATGGATTTGGTTCTCTTCAGAAATTGTTTGTAATATTATCACAACCGAGATCACAACTCATAATGTTTCGAAATTTACGCCGATTCTGTCCATCTCATTTGGTTTGTTTTATTTGTTCCCTTTTCAAAAATAATATTATTTTCGTTCTGATGATTCAGAGTAATTCAGAGTGCAACAATGATGGATAGATATTATAACAGGAAGACCTGAGAAGTTTAAGACCGAGCACAACACATTGATCCACTTGTATGGTGTGGAAGTTTCGTCATTCTAACAACATTTTTGTTAATATTACAAACATCTTGTCGATGCCTGAACCCGAATATGTTGAAAAATATGTATTTCGGTCTCCACCATTCTTTGATAAGCTATATGGTACGGTTTTACGGGGTAAGTCAGTCAACTCTGTGAAAATATTGACTGGAGCCGGATTCAAGGAACATTGTCAACCACTCTTCAGAAAGTTAGGGATTCTACCCCTTCCTTGTATCTATATCCTACATAATACAATAGAAATTCATTCCAAGAGAATGAGCATCCCAAAAATATCTAACCAACATCATTAAACCACACGTTCCGCTACTGCTGACGGTTTACATGTGCCACGTTATAGATTGGAAAAATCTGGAAAAAAACTCCTTGAACTTCAGAATTTATAATAAATTACCTAGCCAAATTAATTTTTTGAATTGACATTTGGCAAATGTAAAAACTTCACAAACGATAAGATTTCCACATTCCAGTTCATTGTACAGGGTGATTCACCATGAATGTCTTCCCCCTCTAGCTCAGTTATTTTTGAACCGATTCCAAAATTTTGAATATCATCCCAAATGATTTTCGATGAAGTTCTTTTTCGCTATATCATGAAATACAGGGTGCCCGGAACAAACGATCTACAGGGAACTATTTGATTTTTTTAAATGGAACACCCTATTTTTCATTGTATTTTTGAATTCTCCTTGAAGAGCTGATTCAATCAATGCATCACACTTGGGGTCTAGCGAAAATGATTACAGAGATATAGGGTGTTCAAAATCGAGATTTTTCAACTTTAGGATTTTATTGTGACGAAACTATTCATTATCGGTCAAAACGGCTCTCATGTCCGTATCTCAACTTTTGATTTACTATCTACTGACATTCAATAATTGGAACAGATACAGGGTGATCAGAAATATCAGAATTCTGAATCTACAACCACCCTGTGAATGTTTCAATTAAATGTCAGTAGATAGTAAATCGAAAGTTGAGATAGAGACATAGGAGCCGTTTCGACTAATAATGAATAGTTTCGACACAAAAGAATCCTAAAGTTAAAAAATCTCGATTTTGAACACCTTATATCTCTCTGTAATCATTCCCGCTAGACCCCAAGTGTGATACATTGATGGAATCAGCTCTTCAGGGAGAATCTAAAAATCAATTAGTACTCTGTAGATTGTTTTTTCCGAGCACCCTGCATTTTCTGATGCAACAGGAAAGAAATCAGAAAAATCATTCTAGATGATTTTTCGTATTTTTAAATCGGTTCAAAAATGAATGAGCTAGAGGGGGGAAATTTATGGTGAATCACCCGGTATATACCAGTATATCACCTGACTAAGCTACTGTGTTAGCGAAACATGTCGTGTGTTTGAGAATTTTTTGGGAATCTTATCATTTGTGAAGTTTTTACATTATCCAAATCAAATATATGAATGAGAAATGTCTCAAAACGAATATGAAAGAAATACTTAATCATTGTTTCTATTCTGTATTCTAACATCTCTTTTTTGGCCCCACCTTGTCATTCACTTTCCTTGATTCGATCTTGCTTTGATTCTAGTTACTATACATATTGTGTTTGTACTACATGTCTATAAGTATGTCTGATCTGTATGTTTTATACACTTATTTATATTTATATACCTTTCTGTATATTTGTTATGTTCCACTTACTTTCTATAAACCATATTCTGTGTGTGTCACCATAGCCAATAACACTATCTTGTCTCAAAAGTTTTGTTACAAGATTTGTCGTTGTGCATATAGGACAAAATATTTTGTTAGTTCATTGGACTCATTTTCTCTTCAATTCCTGAGCGACACATAGTTATAAAGGGCTTC